CCAGCCTCCCTAAGCATCTATACACACACACAACAACAACAACAACAACAAACATGTACACATAATTTTATAAATCATTTTTTAAGAACCAGCTCTGAAGCACTTAATGGAAAGAGATCTAGATCCTAAATTAAGAGCCCAAGGGATTTTTCCTGCACAGGGATCCAATGCCTATTCTTCTCCCCACCCCCAGTGGCTTTTCCATATAGAGTCATAGTTCTCAAACATACAACTGATCATGCTAACCCCCACGTAACACGGGTACCCCATGCCGTAGTTTCCTATTGCTCATGATAACACCAACTTTCTCTTATAAAGCCAATGGGACTATATTGATCTGCTTAGGCTACCATGACAAAACACAGTTTGGGTGGCTTAAACACCAGAAATTTTCCTTTTGATACCCTGGAAGCTGGAATTCCAAGACCAAGGGTCTACCTGAGCTGGCACCTTGTTGAGAGTTCTCTTCCTGGCTTACAGACAATCACCCTGTCACTCTGTCCTCCTGTGGCCTTCCTTGTGTGCAGATGCACTCTCTTTTCTTACAGGGACAACCATTGAACCTTCTCTTACATGACATCTATTCTTATAGGACAGTCCTAGTGAATTGGGGCTCTTACCCTTAAGACCTCTTTGAGGGGTACTATCTCCTTAAAGGTCCCATCTCTAAATACAGCCACATTGGGGGTTCAATCTGTGAATTTGGAGAGTGAAATAAAATGTGGTCTATGCACTGGCTTTGCTTGTTCTGTCCTTGGTCTGTAGATGAATTTCTAAACAGTCTTATTAAATAAGAAACACAGAGCCAAATACAGGGGTAATAGCCAAAGAGATCAGAGAAATATCGAAGAGCCACAACTACCCTTAACTTACCACCTTGCCATTGCTTCCCAAGAGAGAGGATAGCTTCTTCCTGTCTAACCTGCGCTTTTATTGCCTTCCTGTTCTGCCTTCTCATTGGCTCTAAGTCCGGCCACATCACTTCCTCGTCACTGCCTGTCTATACAGATCTTTAGGTCTCTATGGTTGGTACTGGGATTAAAGGTGTGTGTCACCACACTTGGCTGTGTCCTTGAACACACAGAGACTCTGCCTGCCATGTGATTGGATTAAAGGTGTGTGCCACCACCGCCTGACTTCTGTTTATGGCTGGCTATGACCTCTGATCTCCAGGCAAACTTTATTTATTAACATACAAATAAAATCACATTTCGGCACAATTAGAACATCACCACACTGGTCACCACTATAGACGCTTTATTTGCCAGGACCAGCTGGTACCCTCCTTGCCCCAGCCATCCTGCTTTGCACTGGTTCTTGGACTGCACCTCCTCACAGTCTCCTCACAGGGGTGATTTTATTCTTCCCCAGGTGACAGCCTCGCCTCACAACTCTAAGACAGCAAGGAAGAATCGCATCTGCCTTTGTTCAACCATGTATCCGTAGCCTCAGTCCTGAGTACGCTTTAGGCTCTGACAACAGTTTGCAGAAGGAATAAAAATATAGTAAGAAACTTGAGAGTGATTGGAACCGCCTAGGTCAACATGACTGGCAGACAGATCCACCATTCCCACCTATTCATCCACTCTTGACATAAAGAACCTGTTGTACATTGGATCCAGGGGAAACAAGCATAAATAAATGACAGGCAAGCGTCACACCAACCCCTCTCAGGCTATGTGGTCTTATTGAACCATGTGACCTATTGCTCCTCTATATTCAGCCTTCAATCTATTTTGACCTAGCTATAAACAACCACTGGGAAGTTTTTGAAGGCTCTGTAATACTTTAGTAGCGTGGTCATTGACATTCATTACACAAATGTTAACTTAAAACCTCAATGTTAGATATAAAAATCATTTCACGTCATTAAAAGTTTAAAAGGCAATTATCATGCTTTCCAAGAGGTGTCCTGATTACAGTCCCGGGAAAATATCTGTCAGTAAATTCTTTATGGCGTTACGGTAGCTCAAGAGAGCAAATACAGCACAGGTAAGAATTCTAAAATATGAAAATATTTGAAAGACACATACTAATTCCAAAAATCACTCTCCAGAACCAATGGGACTAATTAGCACATGAATCACACATTCTCTTAAAACATGAAATTCATGTAAGATGAATCAAGGGGAAATAGATGTAAAGTGCAAATCAAACACACACACACACACACACACACACACACACACACCTAAGAACTAGCAAAATGTATTAACTGAGTCAGGGAATGGTGGAGGAGCGTGTACATTCCTTTTAAGTTTAGAAACCACAGCTATTGTGTGATGTTACATGAGCCCCAATTTACAGGTGATGCGTAATCCCCAGCCAAGGAAGAAGAAATCATCGTCCTCATCTCACGGGAAGCAAAATTTCAAATCAAGAAGTTTCCAGCACGTTCAATAAAGCATTGAGCCTGGGAGTCAAAGTGCAGCCAGTCTGCCCTGCCTGCCTGTTTGTCCCAGGATGCCTCCAAGCAGACAGAATACGTGCTGGCTGACGCCCTTGGTGGGAAGTCTGGGATAAAAATAAGTAAATGAAGTGAATTAAAGTAGGTTGTGTCTCTATTTTTGACACCGGGAGTGTGATCTTAAATGCCTCCCAAAGTCCAGAGAGAGAAAGCAGTGCTCCTCCGGCCTTTCATCCATCTTCACAAAGCAATTCAGACAATTTCCGCTGTGGAAGAGGCAACTTTCGTTTAGGCAGACAGGGACACAAAAGTGGAATTCTGCGAGGTTGGACTGTCTTTGTCCAAGAAGACCTAGGGGCTGGCCTCTCTCTGATATGGCATCAGGAAAACAAATGACAAGGTGAGGTCACACTGCTGGGGTCAGGCTTTCTCCCAGGCCACTAGATGCTCGAGGCATTTCATCAGGGAAAGTTACTCTTTTTGCCTAATCTATCCCTGACCCCCCCCCCCCACACACACACACACGTCCTCCCACCCCATCACCAAGGACTTGTCCTTTAAAATTCACAGGACCCTAGCAAGATAACCCAGCCTAAGTTCCTTAGCTTCTTTAGTTTGTTTGAAAGCAGTTAGTTAGCCAATCACTTAAGAGTCTTGAAAGGATGCAAAACGAGCAAGTTCAGGGTGCAACCGGCTTCTCCCTTTATTATAAAGTTGCCAGGAACCAACTCCAGCTATAATCCAAGCAAGCTTTCCTCATGTCATTCTCAGTAAGAGCTGTTTTGACATTCCTAACTGTAAAATGGGGATAAAGATAATATAATAACCTTGCAAAATTGCTTTGAGGCGAACTGAATCAAGCAGGCAGCAGACCCTGCTTTACACACTAAAGAGAATGCCAGAAGCCACACCTGGCACCCAGGAATCCCTCAACATGTGGGAATGCTGGGAACTCTCTGGCCCTTAGCGATCGGATTTCTAAAGAAAAGGTAACAGCGCTCTAAACTGGAAACACCTGGCTTCCCTTGATGCCTCCAGCAAGCAGTTACTGATATCTGCTGCTTGACAGGCAGCAGGCAAGGGGAATTACAACACACTCATCTCCCATGTTCATTGACCTTGCAATGTAAGGGACAAGAAAGATTTGCTGACAATTATGGACAACGAAGGACCACCAAACTTTGACTGGCATTGGTAAAGCGCTTTCAAGGTAAGGGACCAGACCCCGTGGAACCACAGGCAAGTCTTTCTAAGAAAATGGCATCCTAGAGAGGTCCACAGAAATCCACGAAGATACCCCCACAATAGACTGCTGGCAATGGTCGAGAGACAGCCGGAACTGACCTACTCTGGTGATGGGATGGCCAAAGACCCTAATTGTCATGCCAGAAACCCCATCCAATGACTGAGGAATCTGGATGCAGAGATCCACGGCTAGACCCCGGGTGGAACTCTGGGAGTCTAATTAGCGAGAAAGAGGAGGGTTTATATGAGCGAGAATTGTTGAAACCAAGGTTGGATAAAGCACAGGGACAAATAGCTAAATGAATGGAAACAAATGAACTATGAACCAAAGGCTGAGAGGCCCCCAACTGGATCAGGCCCTCTGAATGGGTGAGACAGTTGATTGGCTTGATCTGTTTGGGAGGCATCTAGGCAGTGGTACCGGGTCCTGTGCTCATTGCATGAGTTGGCTGTTTGAAATCTGGGGCTTATGCAGGGACGCTTGGCTCAGTCTGGGAGGAGGGGATTGGACCTGCCTGGACTGAGTCTACCAGGTCGATCTCAGTCCAGGGGGAGACTTTACCCTGGAGGAGGTGGGAATGAGGAGTGGGCTGGGGAGAAGGGGAGGGGGCAGGAGGGGGGAGAACAAGGGATCCATGGCTGATATGTAGAACTGAATGGTATTGTAAAATAAAATAAAAGGGAAAAAAAGAAAAAGAAAAAGAAAATGGCATCCCAAGAAACTTGAAGATGAGGAGCTAGATGGATGAAGAACTGGAGGTGGGGGTGCTGTCTCAGGTAAGGATCACTGTAGGTGAAGCCCTGAGGCCTGAGAGGCTAAATACATCTGGACCTGTACATACTGGAACTGTACAATGAGAAAACCAGGAGGGAAGCCAGCATTGGAAAGGAGGGGTCAAGGCCATGTTCAGGTGCAATCAGGGCTTGGAAGTCATACTCAAGGTTCTGATTGTCATCCACCAAGAAGTAGGAAGTATGGACAATGTGAACCAATTTATAGCTCAAGGGGGTGTTAGAATGAGGGAGTCAAGTTCAGGTCATCCAGGGAAAAAATGGTAGTAGATGGGGGATGGATGAAAAGAAGACATAATTGGAAATCGTTCTAGAAGTGGAATCAGTAGGACAGGCATCCTGGTTCTGTTTCTTAGCTGTGACAAAATATGCTAACAAAAGCCACAGTTCCAGGGTATAGTCCCTCATCACGGGGAAGTCAAGGCAGGTAACTGAAGAGGCTAGACACACACACAGTCAAGCACAGAAAGAGAATGAAGATATGCTTGCTTACATAGGATCAGCCCCCTCTTACAACAATATAGTCCAGGATTCCCTGGCCTGGGGAAATGACCCTGCCTACAATATGTGTAGCAGTAGCGCCCGCGTTACCGCTAACCGTTCACCATGTCTGAGCGAAGGGCTGCGGATTAAAAAATAGAGACAAGAGACAGCGAGTCATTCGTACGTTTGGATGTCGAATGCCCTTTATTGCAAGAGGGAAGAAACCTTAAATACAGGCTTACAACACAAATGGAGGATCCCCTGAGGGCAGAAGTTC